ATATAAAAACATACCTTCGAAAAAACGAGATAAACGTTGCCAAAATCGCAATGTATTTCAACAACTTTTCGCCAAACGTTCGTTGAAAATCGTAATTGTGAATAATAATTAGACGCAATGCATTGTGGGAAGACCCTCATTCCTCCTCTGGTCACTGACTGTGTATTGTTAGAAATAAACCATGGAAAGAAAGACACAGGCCAACAGGGTTAAATACATAAACTCTCAAAGCATATGAACAATTTCTAAAAAAATTAGTCTTACATATTTGCCATATAAATATGTCCATAATCTTAAATTTTCATGTCGAACATTGTACAATTATAATAGTTGAGAAATATTGTATTGTTTTAAAGATATATTAAAGATTTTCCAAGGATTTGGCTTATCGTCGGTTTCCATCTATACATCATACACGCTTGGCAACTGGTCGCTGAGGATTTCGTTTTGTCTTAACAGCTCCTGTCACAAATCACTATTTTCGGCGAAGATGTTTTCATATTTCCAGTGTGTTTAACCAGCCAATATCACGTTCTGTGTGGTCTTAAATATCTGTACAGAAGAAAAGCACCACCAGCTACAAACATGGTACCAACACCAAGCGATACAACCATCGGCAAAGTAAAGAATTGAGATTTTTGATTACACAGATGGCTAAAAGAAAACAAGAATTCAAAGTCAACGCTTCAACAATTCTCCCTGGAAATGCCATACGTTATCGGTTCAGTGTTATTACAGAAGGAAATATGCTTAATAATCTACCAGTTCTAAACTCTTCTTCGTTCTTCATAGAGGTCCACTAAGGTTGATCTACTGTAGTGTTACTACAGGAGTAAACCTTAACTAAACAAACTTTATTTACACTGGATAGCACTAGCAGTTCTAAACTGTTCTCTCTAGAGCTCCAGATCATCTCTTATTGATCCAGTGTTACTACAGGAGGAAACCTAACTAAACTAACTTTAATTATACTGGATAGCTCTAACAGTTCTAAACTGTTCTCTCTAGAGGTCCAGTGAGGATCATCTCTTGTTGATGTAGTGTTACTACAGGAGGAAACCTAAACTAAACAAACTTTATTTACGCTGGATAGCACTAACAGTTCTAAACTGTTCTCTCTAGAGGTCCAGTAAGGATCATCTCTTATTGATGCAGTGTTACTACAGGAGGAAACCTAAACTAAACTAACTTTATTTATGCTGGATAGCATCAACAGTTCTAAACTGTTCTCTCTAGAGGTCCAGTAAGGATCATCTCTTATTGATGTAGTGTTACTACAGGAGGAAACCTAAACTAAACTAAACTAACTTTATTTATGCAGGATACTTCTAACAGTTCTAAACTGGTCTTCCTACATTGGTGGAGTCAAACTGGAAGCACTCTTCTCACAATAACTGAGAGGAAATTATAATCAGGAAACCACTTATTGGAGAAATCGAACTCAGTACATACAATGCACTTATCACTGTGCTACGAATTAACCCGGCTATGGTAAACTGTAGTGAATCACTTACGGATAAACAGCCATGCAAGCTAAGGTATCGTAAACATCTTTCTTCAAACTAACTTGTGTCAGAGCAGTAAAAGGCTATAAAAATATGATCATACCGTTTCAAACAGACATTTAGCATAACCAAATAAAAAACACACGATGGATAAGAGAAAATAGTGTTGTATTTACCACTGGCTCTGGGAGATTATTGAGAGTACAGTACATTGATGGTTGTACTTCGCAATTCTGAAAAGTTAAAAAACGACAGTTTGTTCACTGTGGCATGATCTGTTTCTGAACTACTGCAAAATACTCTAAATTTCGAGCGATCTTTCATCAGGAGGTTCAAGGTAGGAACGAACGGTATATCGTATATTACAGGGAAGATTACATTGTGTATACAGGTAGCAGTACAACAGAAATTATGAACAAGTGCGACTACCTGTTGAACAACAGGACGATCTGCTTTTGTCGCAACGAACAAACACGGCACACCAGACAACACGTTCTGTAAAGACATAATTTCATGTAATAATTGTTATGGTATGTGGAGAAAACATATCCGTCAGCCTTCAATCAGTTTACAGTACCTCATGCAGGTCAGTACAGTATCTCATGCAGGTCAGTACAGTATCTCACGTAGGTCAGTACAGTACCTCATGCAGGTCAGTACAGTATCTCATGCAGGTCAGTACAGTACCTCGTGTAGTTCCAGAACTTTAGAAAAGGAGTTCGGATCAGATTGATCGTAGAGAAAGCAAATGACATCACATTTCTTGCTATTTAGTAATTCATTGTCAATTTGATTCCACGCAATTTCACATAACTAAAGAAAGTGCAAGAATGAAAGAAACAAATATAAAAACTACCTCCTAGTTTCCTTACAAAATCACTTACGTGCAGCTTGTTATTATCCATTTCCCAAAATCCTGGGTCTAGTCGCCCAAATCTCATGCATGTTGGAGGGACGGGAAATATGGCAGCACACATTTAAATTAAAAGTTTTATGTAAAAAGGAGATATTTCATTTTTGGTCGTCTAAAAAGTTGATATTTGATAGTATAGATACTTCTAATCTTTCACTTATTTTGTCCCTCCAAACGATCCCAGAATGCACTGTGATCTCTTTTGGCAAAAGGCTAATTAAATTTAATTTTATATTTAATACAATTACTTACAATTAGATATTTTTCATGTTTGTTCACCTCAGCAGTATTAATTGTAAATTTCGTAGCGGTGGGATCTTTTTTGACTTCTAATTCCTTGAGAGAAACAAAGGAATATGGAATATATTCAATTCTAGAATTGAGTACAAAGTAGTGGTTTAATTATTGTAAATTAGATGTTCACCTCTAAACTACTGTTCACATGACCTTGTAGAAATGCAGTCTGCAACGAAAGTACAGCAAGATTAATTTCAGTATTAGAATTAAATGAGACCAAGGCTCCTATTTAACACGGTTGTCGTTTACCGATGAATTAAACCTGCTACTGCATGTATTTCGATCGATACACACGTAAAAACGCACAAGTTGCAGCAGACTTGTAGCAATGCTGTTCCAACAACTTGT